TTACCTGATTTGCTTCGCAATAGCCCCTGCTAGAATGTATAAGTGTAAAACGAAAGGTACCATCCAATGCTGACCCTTATTTATCGTTCACGGTAGAAGAGACCACTATATATATATATATATATATATATATTTTATATATTCAAACAAGCTTGGTTATATATATATATATATATATATATATATATATATATATATATATATATATATATATATATATATATATATGTATGTATGTATGTATGTATATATTCAAACAAGCTTGGTTAAATAATTCAGACATTACAATGTCTGTTTATTTGTTTTAATCCTTTCTTCGTAGCCGTAGAAAAGTGAAAAATTACCAAAATTTTCTTTGAAATAATTTTTATCTTTCCAAGTATTTTCAGTCTCGTCTGAGACCATCCTCAGTGGTTTAAATTGTCTGTGTATGTGTATACATATATCTGTTAATTCTAAACATTTTTACTGTTCGGTTTACTGCCTTTTTTATCGTTCTATATTAATTTCAAATTCACGAGTTTTTTTTTCCTGTGCAACAGAGAAAACCTGTTTGAATGAAAATATGCTGCCTAAATACCCAAATTTGAAACTGCATATATAAATATATATATATATATATATATATATATATATATATATATATATATATATAGATAGATAGATAGATAGATAGATAGATTATAATAAAAAGAACAGTAAGATATATAATCCGGTGTTTTTAATTGGTATTCTAATTTTGACAAAACAGTGCTCAATGTAAATTTACAGAGTATAAATATTATAAATTAACTAATTTAAAATATGCTTTTTTCGCTACACAGGAATTTGCTTGAAGATGAAACAGAACTAATGCTTTTAATTTAATTATATAATTAAATTTGAAGTTTTTAGCTTCGGTTTTTGAAACCTGGTAATTCGTGTGTAGCGAAGAAACCATATTTTAAATTAGTTAATTTACAATGTATATATATATATATATATATATATATATATAGAGAGAGAGAGAGAGCGAGAAAGAGAGAGAGAGAGAGAGAGAGAAAGAGAGACGTTTCATTGAATAATTTAGACAAGTTTTTCTACTTATTGTCATTTTTTCCCCGAGCAAGGCAGGAAGCCACTAGGATACAGGGCGTTGCAGAAGATTTGGAGCGAGATCAGATAGGAGAGATATAAGAAAGGGTGAGGAGAGGGATAGTGGGTAGATCAAGGTAACTGGAGGTGTCGATTGACATTACATTTGAATAGTTGGAGATTATAGCTCTCAGGGAAACAGTAATAGGGAAGGGTGTTCCACAGGCGAGAGGTGCGAGGTATGAAGCTATTGGAGTAGAAGAGACGGCTACATTTAAAAGTTTCTACAGTGAAAGGGTGAGAGCGGGATGCCAGCCTCGTAGGGCGCTTGAATTCATGGAGTCTGGGAACCAGTGAAAGCAGCTCAGCGGAGCAATTACCATGAAAGTATTTGTAGAAAAGACAGAGAGAGGCGACGGTGCGTCTGTGAGAGAGTGACTGTAGACGAGATGCCAGATCAGGGCCAATTATATTACATATCCGCCTCTGGATCTTGTCAAGAACTCCGAGCTAAACAGAAGGTGCACCAGACCATATATGGCAGCAATACTCCATGCAAGGGCGAATGGTTGATTTGTATATTTGAAGTATCGATTCTGAGGAGAAAAATTTCCTGGCGCGGTTCAGAGAGCCAACTTTCCTCATGGTGGAAGAAGCAATTGACTCAGTATTTGTTCCATCTCAGGTCAGCAGTCAACGTGAGACCGAGCAGACGCAGAGAGTTGCTCTCAAGAAGTTGACTATCAGACATTCTAATTGGATCCTTTCCTATTCACGGACAAGCTTTTTGGTGTCATTATTTAAGGAAGAGAGGAAAACGCCGTATTAATACATATTATTTTATTCTGAGTACTTTTGGCATAGTATAATGTTGGTTTTGTTATTTTCAAGACACATATTGTAGTGTTCATGATTTTCAAAGACAAAATTTCTGTGTTCATCTGAAAGTTGATTTTTTTCTTGTGAAATGAATATCGATAAGTGAATACGCGATGGATTCACTTATATTTCAGGGGAGGTAACTATGTATGGTATGTCGAAATTCTTTAAGAAAGAAGTATTAAAACTGTTAGTGCAAACCTTGATATTTTAAACTATGTATTGAACACATTTTAAAACATTAGTGTAGTATTCAAAATTACTTTTATGAAGGTTTGCTTTCATTTTTTTTTTTTAAATATAGATAGCTTCAAGTATTTATGTGTGTGTCTGTTAATGAAAAATTTGGCATTTATTGAGCCAGCAACCAGTACTACTGTCGGTTGAAATTTATAAAATATTTCTCTTATAATAATTTTCAAGAAAATACGTTTCTCAAGTCCAATAGCTTTTATCGCACTTACTAGTATAAAAGGAGGTTTCCTTTCTAACCTTTTGCTTGAAGTAGTGTGGATTGTCAACATCTTGATTATGTCCTGATTTTCGTTTCTTACATGTGATAGCCATTTTAGTTGTTTAGCGTAATATTTCTTTTCTTCATCTCAAATTCTAATAGTAATATTATATGTTTCCTTATAAGGAAACATTCAGTATTCAATGACCGAGCAGACAGAGCTACTTTCGGTTGAAATTCATAACAAATCTTTCTCATAAAATATGGATATGCACAAAAGCAGAGTGTCATCTACCATGTATTCAATTGTGAAAGCAGAATAACATATCATATTTGTTTTACTTCAATGCTCCAAAGAAAATTAAATTTCGGCATAAAATGACCCATAAGGAGTTGATATGCATTTAAACAAATAAATCAATCAATCAAAATACTTCCAATCAGAAAACATTCAGCATTCATTGTCTGATGAAAAAAGAGCGAATCAAGTTCTGTTTTTCATCTCTGAAATCAAAGTGGAGTATCTGTTTTCCTCATCTCTAATGCCAATAGTAATATTAATTGTTACCTTATAAGGAAAATTACAGGATTCTTTGTGTGAGCAGGCCAGTAGTGCTGTCGGCTGAAATTTATAAAATCTTTATCTTAAAATAATTTTTGAGCAAAATATCAAGTTCAGTAGCTATTGTCGAACTCTCGTCTACTTGCTTGCCTGTCAAGTCCGATTTTGAAAATTTAAATGCAGTGTCAATTCTCATCTTGAAGTCTGTTCTTTTATTGTCCTTTCACTTTTCAACGTTTTCTCAGTTTCTTTTAGATTTCTTCTTACTCCTCTGTCTTAGTGGCTTTATTGCCTTGCTTAGGATGAAATGTTTTTAAAAATCTTATTTCGTTTTAATTAAATAATTTTAAGCATTATCTTTTTATGCTGTTTGAGGTTGTTTTCTATTTAAATTTCTCACGGTCAATTATATAAATGACTAGCAGTAGAGCCCGGCGTTGCCCGGGGATGTAACAGTAAGAGATAGATCAAGTATCGACCATCATAAAGACTGAAAAATAAAATTGACAAAGATTATTGTTTAAGGTTGACGGACACGCATGCCTTAATTAGTTTTTTTTCTTTTTGTATTTTTTTTTTTTTACCAATTGGTCAAACCCAAATTCAAAGAAAAACATTGTTTTCAATCGTTATGAGTCTACCGATTGAGTAGAATTTTATTATAAGCAATTGTCTTGTAAATGGAATTTTTAAAGCATTCTGAATATAAAAATAAAGAAAAAAGTGTGCAAGACAATAAGAAACACTACCTGCCAAAAAAAAGTGAAAGTTTTGTTGAAATCGGTTGAAAAATGTAGGAAATCCGATCCCATATATAAACGACCACGACCACACACACACACACACACACAAACAACCTGGGTTTTTATAAGTATAACTCGGTATGAGTTGTCCCCCTTTCATTCTCGCGATGCCTCTTAATCGTGTTTTCAAATTGATTTTGTGCAAAAACAATTGTATTTTTCAATTTTTGGCGCTGTCAGAACCACCGCAAGGTAATTTTACGTAGTCCTGTGAAGTTTTGTTGAAATCAGTTGAAAAATGTGGGAAATCCGAAAAAAATATATAAACGTACACACACACACACACACACACACACACACACACACACACACACACACACACACACACACACACACAACCTGGGTTTTATAATAAGTATGATAATATATCTTTACATTTTTTTTCCTATTCTCAAATTTCCGTCTTTCTGCGAAAGTCAAAAGCGGGCGAGGCACACAGATAGAAAGTGAACGTCTTTTTCAAAAGCAAACTACTTTTGCCTGCGATACGCTCTGTGTGAGTTACATTCTCCAATGTTTCTTTCCTCATCATGCCTCCCATGAATTTCAAGTGTTTCTTTCCGGTTATTTAGCAGCACGATCTTGGTCGCTTCTATTCTCGTTAAAACGTCCACGAAGGGCCACGAAATAACGCCTGAGAAACTACGATAACCGTGTAGCGTGAAAAGCGAAAACGCCCAACCACTGATAACAACGATTCTGTTAATGATAAACTGATTACGAGGACGATAGTTGTGCAGTAGAAAAATGGTATTTAGTTTGGGGTTTAAATGAACTTTGGCGGGAAAGAAGGAAATCATGGCGGATAAAAGACGACAGCTAATGATGAAAAAAGAGTCCAAAATGGCCGGGTCGTTGCTATTGCTTCTTTGTGTTTTATTTTCGGCATCATCAGGCGTAAAATGAATTCGTGGTGTCATTTGATAGCAACCAATTATGATATCCGATTACTATATAATTGTTCCGACTGTTCATAATGCTGATAACAGGCCAGCGTCAGAGAATGCTAAGGGGATAGTTATCATAAAAATCTTTGAGAGTAGGGAAGGAAGAACACCGAAGACGTGGTATGAGAACTAAAATGAAAGAGGTTGAACGAGCGTGCTGAAGTGAAATAGATGCCGTTGTAGGAGGAGACTAACACGGATGAAGGATGTAAAAGGAAGTCAAAAACGGAAAGGAAGAAAAGGGAAACAAAAAAAAAAGATGCAAAGAAGAAAAAGAGAAGTTAAAAATAAATGTGAAGAATAAAAGTGAAAGAAAAAAAATGTGAAGAAAAAGTAGAAAAATAGAAATAAAAAGAGATGTGAAGAAAAAACGAGAAATAAAAAGAGACGCGAAGAAGAAGAACGCGAGAAATAAAAAAGAGATGCACAGAATAAGAAAAACTGAAATAAAAAAAACGTGAAGAAAAAGAAGAAAAATAGAAATAAAAAGAGATGTGAAGAAAAAATGAGAAATAAAGAGATGTGAAAAAGAAAAAATGAGAAAGAAAAAGAGATGTGAAAAAGAAAAAATGAGAATTAAAAAGAGATGTGAAGAAGAAAGAATGAGAAATAAAGAGATGTGAAAAAGAAAAAAAATGAGAAATAATAAGAGATGTGAAGAAGAAAAAAATGAGAAAGAAAAAGAGATGTGAAAAAGAAAAAAATGAGAATTAAAAAGAGATGTGAAGAAGAAAAAACGAGAAATATAGAGATGTGAAAAAGAAAAAAAATGAGAAATAAAAAGAGATGTGAAAAAGAAAAAACGAGAAATATAGAGATTTGAAGAAGAAAAAATGTGAAATAAAAAGAGATGTGAAAAAGAAAAAAATGAGAATTAAAACGAGATGTGAAGAAGAAAAAATGAGAAATAAAAAGAGATGTGAAGAAGAAAAAAATGAGAATTAAAACGAGATGTGAAAAAGAAAAAAATGAGAAATGAAAAATATGTTATGAAGAAATAAAAAATAATAATTAAAATCGAAGAAAATAGGAATATAAAGAGATATATAAGAAAGAAAAAGAGAAAGAAAAAGATTTGGGAAGAAGCAAAAGAGGAAAATTAAAAGTAAAATGATGTGTGAAGAAGAAGAATAGAAATATAAAAGATGCGTAGAAGAAGAGAAAAATAAAATGAAGTGAAGAAAAATAAAAAAGCGGAAATAAGACGAGAAATAAAAAAGCGAAACGAATAGAGAGGGGGGAGAATAACGGGAGAAGAGAATGACAAAGAGAAAAGGAGAAATGAAAAGAGGAACAAAAGAAAAGATGAAGGTAGAAAGAGAAAAACATAAGGAAAAGAGAAAAAAGAAGACGAAGAAAAGAAGGAAACGGAAGAAAGAAAAAAAAGAATACAAGGAAAAAATAATAAGAAGAAAAACGTAGTGAAGAAAGATGTAATAAAGGAAAATATAAAGAAATAAGGAAAAAGACAGAAATGAAGAAGAAAAATCAAGGCAAGGTATGTGAAAAAAAAAAATGAAGAAAAAGACGGAGAAAAAAGAAGTAAAAAGAGGGAATAAAAAAACAAAAATGAAATAAAGAAAGGAGAAAAAGAAGGAAAACTAAAAAAAGCTGATTAAAGAAGGAAGGCGGAACAAAGAAAAACAAACAGAAAACGGAGAAAAAGAGAACCAAAAAGATAATGTAATGAACGATGAACAACAAAATAAAAAGAAGAGAAAAGGTCAAAAGAGGAAGAAAAAAGGCAGACAGAATAAAGAACAACGAAGAAAAAAAGCTAGAAAAAAAGCGAAAAGAGGTACAAAGATAAAACGAAGGAAAGAAAAGTAGAAGAATAATGAATGAAGGAGAAGAGAGTAAAAAGAAAGACGAAGAATAAAAGAAAACATGAGCGAAGAAAAATGGAGAAGAGAGAATGAAAAGAAAAGAAAAAGAGAAAAAGAAGGGGAAAAGAAAATAATAGGAATGAAATGTAATGAATTAACGAAAGGTATAAGAAAAGAAAAAAAAGAAAAAAAAAGATAAAACAGAAGAAAAATGTAAAATTTAAAAAAATAAATGAAAGAAAAAGTCGAAAAATTAAGACGGAGAGTGAAAAAAGGGAGAAAAGACGAAAAAGATGAAGACTACAAAAAAAAGGAAAAAGAAAAAAAGAAGAAAAAAGAAGAAAAAGAAGAAAAAGAAAAAAGAAAAAAGAAGAAAAAGAAAATGAAGTAGTAATATGTAGAAGAAGAAGAAGAAAAAGAAGAAAAAAGAAAAGTAGTAGTAGTAGTAGTAGTAATAGTGGAAGAAGAAGAAGAAAAAGAAGAAGAAAACGAAGAAGAAAAAAGAAGAAAAAGAAGAAAAAAGAAAAAGAAAAAGAAAAAGAAAAAAGAAAAAAAAAGTAGTAGTAGTAGTAGTGGAAGAAGAAGAAGAAAAAGAAGAAGAAAAAGAAGAAGAAAAAAGAAGAAAAAGAAGAAAAAAGAAAAAAGAAGAAGAAAAAAGAAAAAGAAAAAGTAGTAGTAGTAGAAGAAGAAGATGAAGAAAAAGAAGAAAAAGAAGAAAAAGAAAAAAAAGAAAAAAGAAAAAGAAGTAGTAGTAGTAGAAGAAGAAGAAGACGAAAAAGAAGAAAAAAGAAAAAGAAGTTGTAGTAATGGTAGAAGAAGAAGAAGAAAAAGAAGAAAAAAGAAAAAAAAGTAGTAGAAGAAGAAGAAGAAGGAGAAGAGATAGAGAGAAGGGGCTGGCAAGAAAAATAATTGACCTGCTGTGGCTTCTATTGTTTGGAATATGACGACAATGATCAGGATAACTGTCAGGGATTATTGATTAGGATGTCATGACAATGAAGGCGGTTTTGGAAAGATGATAGTAATGATGGGGCAATGGATGATTAGGCTGATGATGTAGATTTTTATGATGAGAAACAGATGACGCGACAAAGATTATCACAGTGATGAAAATGAAGTTTGTGGCGATAATAACGAAGAACAAAAAGATGAATGCTAAAATAATGATTATATCCAGAAAAAAAAACAACATTTTTTTTAATGATTTAGTCGTTGTGATGATGATGAATTGAAAGGAGCAAGACTATTATTATGATTCGATGCTGATTATAAACAGGCTTAATGCAGGAAAATGACTGAAGAGACTATGTTGAGAACTATGTCTGAATTAGGGTTGATTTATGCAGATGACGACGCAAAACAAAACAAAAAAAAGGAAAAGAAAAAGAAAAAAAGAAATCGATGAAAGTAAAATGAAATAAAAAAAAATAAAAAAATAAAATATGTGTTGCTGGACAATTTTTCTCCTCCGCATCTATCTTACATATTTACAAGTGTACCAATTCTTACTTTGAACATTGCTGCCAAATATGGTCTGGTCCTGCTGGTATATATTTAGAGATTCTTAAAACCCAAAGATGAATCTGCAATGTTATTGGTCTAGACTTGGCGTCTCTGCACCAGTCACTTTGCCACCGCCATAATATAGCTTCCCTGTACATTTTTATAAATACTTTCATGGTAATTGTTCTGATGAACGTTTCTCTGTGGTACCTAAACATTATGAATTGAAGTGCACTACTAGATTGGCGGATAGGTCTCATCATATTGCAGTTGAATTGACTAGGTGTAGCCGTAAATTCTATGATAACAGTTTCTTTTCTCGTACTTTGCATTTGTGGAACTCCCTTCTGGTTCCATGCTTTCCAGCCAACGTTAATTTGCGAAAAATGTTAATGTAAAATCTATCGCTATCTCCTGTCCTCCTGATAAATGTCTTCTCTTTTAGTTCATGATTAATGTTTCTGTTCCTAATTCTTCCACACCCTGTAACTCCTTGTGTCTTATATGGGCGTTTGAATTGCTTGGTGGGATTCCGATTAAAAAAAAATTATTTCATCAATAATTTATTTTATCGATAAAAGACCAAGGAGCAAGACTATTGTTATGATTCGATGCCTACTATAAACAGGCTTAATGCAGGAAAATGACGAAAAAAAAAAAGAAAAAGAAATCAATGAAAGTAAAATAAAAGAATAAAACATGTGTTGCTGGACAATTTTTCTCCTCCGCATCTATCTTACATATTTACAAGTCTACCAATTCGTAATTTGAACATTGCTGCCACATATGGTCTGGTGCTGCTGATATATATTTAAAGATTCTTAAAACCCAAAGATGAATCTGCAATGTTATTGGTCTTGACCTGGCGTCTCTGCTCCAGTCACTTTGCCATCACCATAATATAGCTTCCCTGTACATTTTTATAAATACTTTCATGGTAATTATTCTGACGAACGTTGCTCGATGCTACGTAAACTTTATGAATTGAAGCGCACTATTAGATTGGCGGATAGGTCTCATCATATTACAGTTGAATTGGCTAGGTGTAGCCGTAAATACTATACAAACAGTTTCTTCTCTCGCACTTTTCACCTGTGGAACTATCTTCCAGCTTTTACCTTTCCTGTTAATTTTGATCTTCAAAAATTTAAATGCAATATCAATCCTTATCGTCTGTCTTCTTAATTCTAGTTTTTTTTATTGTTTACGCTTGTTAATGGTTTTTTATTATATTTTTCACACTCAGTAACCTTCCTTGCGTCTTAGTTGCTTTATTACCTTGCTTGTTGTAAAATGATTAAAATAGGGGGAAAAAAGAAAGAAAATGAATAAAGCAGGTAACTATTTACATTATTTGGACTATTGCCCTCATTTTATTGTCATATTCATGACGTTTCAACACTTGTACGCTCTTGCCTTCTTCAAGTGATATATGTTGCAATTTTGAATCGAACCCTTTATTTCGTCTACCCGGGTAGATTGTTCTAGTTCCACGTGTCATGCCTTTTCTGGATATCTCTCTTTTACTAACTCAACTCTCTAAGTTTTTGTTCACCTCTGCTGTGGACAGGTATTGAACTCACAACTCGTTGGGTCAATCACTGGATTACTTGAACCGAATCTAGCTTTTATCCAATGCGCCATCTCTCCTCAAAGTAACAGAGATATCTGGAAAGAAGCATAATGGGTTCGGTTCTAGATTCTAACGCAGATCACTTGAAGAAGGCCGGAGCGTATAACGACCGAAACATCGTGAATATGACAATACACATGAGAGAATTAAAAATAGAGACCATGTGTTCCCAAGGTGACTGAGATGTCCGGAAAAGACGTGACATGTGGAAATAGTTGCAATACCTAATCTCAGAAATATAGACTTAAATAACTTAAGCTATTCTAAGGGAATAAGTTTTCATCATCATTCTTTAGCGGTCCGAATTGCGTTGGGGAGGGGGCGTTTATTACGCTCTATTTTTTTACAAAATTGAATTGACAGTCTTTCCATCAATATATATATATATATATATATATATATATATATATATATATATATGACGCCACACATTATGAAATGGACAAAGTCCGACAATTATTTTAAGACATTTTATGTTTAACATTCTTTTTATAGATACAAATATTTAAGTAAATGCTCTGTTTATAATAAGCAGTATTAGACATTTACCGACCTGAATGTCCGAGAAATTTTCATAGAAAATATCCTGTCGGAGAAGAAATATTTTCTATGAAAATTTCTCGGACATCAAGCCGGTAAATTTTGTTTAATACTGTTTATTATAAACAAAGCATTTACTTCAATATTGAATGTTAAACATAAAAATGTCTTTTTATATATATATATATATATATAACATCATCCACAGACAGACTGTTTCGCTGTTTACAGCTCATCAGTGTGGCTAGACATCCGGTTGTCTCTAGCTAGGATCGAAACCCGTCAGTGGTGTCAGTCGGAGCTTCTGACCACTAAGCCGTCGGCGCATGGTAGGGATGAAGGTGGATTTTTAGCATATTTATTTTTAGAAACATGCCCAGTGACTGACAGTGACTCAATTCGCTTTCGTGAAGAGTCTCGCTATATAGCTATAATAGTCACTGTTTACAAACCCACTGTATGTATAATGAGATAAACATGATGTCTTTCTAAGTATCCGTGATTTTACACCATAAAAAGCTGTTTTTTTTTTTTGTTTGGTTCTAAATTCCAACGTATATCACCTGAAGAAGGCCGAAGCGTATAACGGCCGAAACGTCGTGAATATGACAATACAGATGAGAGAATTGGAAATAGAGACCATGTGTCCCTAAGGTGACTGAGATGTCCGGAAAAGACATGACACGTGAAAATAGTTACAATAGCTCATCACAGAAATAGACACAGATAAAAGCTGTAACGAAGAAAAATAAGAAAGAAGGAAAAGAGGAGAAATGTGAATGTAAGAAAAGTGAATGAAGGTAAAAAGTAAAAAAGAAAACGAAAAAGTAAATGGATAAAGAAAAAAAAATAATTGAAAATAAAGAGGAAAGAAAGTTGAAAGTGATTAAAAAAAAGCGATAAAAAAAGTTAAATAAGAAGGAAGAAAAATGAAAGGAGATACGTATTTCTCCTCTTTTCGCGCTATTTTTGCTTCTTTGTTTATTATCTTATTTACTTTTTTCATATTTTTTCGGTTTAGTTTTGTCTTCATAAATAATTAATCAAGAATTAAATTAAAGACATGAAAAATTGAGCAAAAAATGAAGGAAAAAATGAAGAAGGAAAATAAAGAAAAAAAACGAAAAAGGAAAATAAAAGAGGAAAATGAAGAAAGAATATAAAGAAGGAAAATGGAGAAGAAAATGGTGTAAGAAGGAAAATGAAAAAGGAAAAAAAGAAAAAAAAAGAAAATAATGAAGAAAAATAAAGAAGGAAAATGAAGAAGGAAAAAAAGAAGGAAAATAAAGAAGAAAAATGAAGGAAGAAAGTAAAGATGAAAAATAAAGAAAGAAAATGAAGAAGAAAAATAAAGGTGAAAAAAAGAAGGAAAATGAAGAAGGAAAATAAACATAAAAAATAAAGGAGGAAAATGAAGAAGGAAAATAAAGAAGAAAAATGAAGAAGGAAAATAAAGAAAAATAAAGCGGGAAAAAAGAGAAAGAAAATAAAGAAGAAAAATAAAGGAGGAAAATGAAGAAGAAAAATAAAGAAAGTAAATGAAGAAAGAAAATAAACAAAAAATAAAGGAGGAAAATGAAGAAGGAAAATGGAGAAAGAAAATAAAGATGAAAAATAAAGGAAAATGAAGAAGAAAAATGAAGGAAGAAAATAAAGATGAAAAATAAAGAAAGAAAATGAAGAAGAAAAATAAAGGTGAAAAAAGAAGGAAAAAAAGAAGGAAAATAAAGAAGGAAAAATGAAGAAAGAAAATAAACATAAAAAATAAAGGAGGAAAATGAAGAAGGAAAATAAAGAAGAAAAATGATGAAGGAAAATAAAGAAAAATAAAGAAGTAAAATGGAGAAAGGAAATAAAGAAAAATAAAGAAGGAAAATGAAGAAAGAAAATAAAGAAGAAAAATAAAGGATGAAAATGAAGAAGGAAAATGAAATAGAAAAATAAAACAGTAATGTGAAGGAAATTTTAATTAACGACCTTCTCGGTGGCATTTAATCCTGACTCGATATTGTCTGATTAGATTGATATTGTCAAATTGGTGATTGATCTCATCAAAGATCTTCAGTCTGTTGCTAACTGGGGCAAAGAATGTTATGTTAATATTAAAACAAAACTGGTTTCTATTAATCGTCTGTGAGACACTTTTCTGCTTCGTATCAACATTGCTAATGCTAAACCCCAAGGGAGTAAGTTGTTGCGCCTTCTAGAGCTAACATGCTAGGCTGACACGAAGAGGAAAGACCATATTGAATCCATTGCTATGTCAGCTACTAAAAAATTAGTTCACTTTGTCGTGCGACACGATTTTTGTCTCCAAAATCTAACTTACATATTCTATTTGACTACCATTCTGCTATACTTAGAATATCGCTGCCAAATATGGCACAGTGCTCCAGCTAAATATTTAGAGATTCTTGATCTGAAAATCCAAAGCAGATTCTGCAATATTATTGGTCCTGACCTGGCGTCTAGGCTGCAGTCACATTCTCACCTCCGTAAAGTTGCTTCCATGTGTATAAATAATTTCATGGTAATTGCCCGCTATGTAAATATTCAGTGGGGTTCGGCCACATCTTTGGTTATGATCCAAGTCGAGATTCCCAACCTCCCCAGTTTGTTTTGGCCCCTATTTATCTCGACTGGGTCAGCTTTTTATTTCCCATGTCCGTATATATTTTTCTCCTTTACCCACCCCCTTAGCGAGAGAGCTTCTTGATTTTGTCCAATGAGCAGAATACAGCGGCCTCTCTTTTTTGAGGGTTGGACGGGTTCTACTAACATCAGTTATGTTTAGTTTATTTTGTGTTAATATTTTAGTTTGTTATTGGGTTCATCTCCCTCCCATCTCATTTTAGTCATCCATAGATTTTTAATTATAAATTTTATAATGATTAGATTTTTATGGCATTGGGCGCGTTTTTGTAGGTCCCCCTTGAGAGGATGTGGTATTGTGGTGTATGGAGGATTGGTTGGTGACGGACAAGTTTTTATGGTGAATGTGAAAATTGTAATAAGTGAATCGGATTAGCTAGGTATAAGATAGTTAGTGTCGACCAGCCTCTACCCTCCCCTTTTTAGGCCTTGTGCCATAATTGTGTAATTTCACACAATAAATTTCAATATTCAGTGGTGTTTAATTTTTAAATGTTATTTTTATTCCCCACATTTCCACAGTCAAATTGTACATATGGAAGCCAGTTAGAACTACATTGAGATTTTGAAGTATTATGGTGGCTGTAACAAGAATAGCTTTTGGTGTAAGGAATACTGCGGTATGTTTCGGCCAGTAATCGTGGCTAGCTAAATTTAAGATAAGACAGATTGAAGACCAGTGCCACGGTTTTGTATTACTCAAAATAAATATTGCTCAATGGTACAAATACTTTATGAATTTAAGCACCATACTTATACAACTGTGAGTTTGATATAAGACGTCTACGAAAGAAAGAGGGACTGTTCCATGAAAGCTAATCTATTGAAATGTAACGTCTAATCTTCGATAGAAGTGGGGGACTGCTATGTGATGGCCAGTATATTGAAATTTGGAGCTGCTATAACGTGTCTAATGACCATCTGGAGACTTCTATAAAACGTGCAATCTGCTTTTGGAATGTGAGAATGTTACGCGATGTCTAATCCCCTACTGTGGAGAGGGGGACTGCTATAAGAATGTGGGACTGCTATGTGAGGTTAAATCTCCTATTGGACATTGGGACTGCTATGTGACGTCTCATCTTCTATAAGAGTGTGGGACAGGTACGCGACGGTTAATCTATTGGGATGTGGAACTGTTTTAAGGCGTATAATCTGCAATTGGAATGCGAAACTGCTATGTGATGTCTAATCTTTTATTGTAGAGCGGGACTGCTAAGTAAGGTCTCATCTTCTATAAGAGTGTGGGATGGGTACGCGCAGGTTAATCTATTGAAACGTGGGACTGCTTTAAGACGTATAATCTGATATTGGTATGTAAAAGTGTTATGTGAAGTCTAATCTGTTGCTGGAGAGTGGGACAACTATGTGACGTCTCATCTTCTATAAGAGTGTGGGTCAGATACGCGAAGGTTAATCTATTGGGATGTGGGACTGCTTTAATGCGTATAATCTGCTACTGGAATGTGAAACTGCTATATGACGTCTAATCTTTTATTGGAGTGTGGGACTGCTATGTGACGTCTGACCTTCTGTATTAATTTGGGACTGCTCCGTGACGTCTAAACGTTTGAAGTGTGAGACTACTATATAACGTGGAATCTACTGGAGTGCCCCACTGATAAGTGACGTCAAATGACTTATTAAACCTTTGAAGTGCTATGTGACGTCTTATTGTTTATAGTAGTTTGGGACAGTAATGTCACTAGTAATCACCTACAGGACTACGTAATCCCTAATATCCAATAGGGACTCCTTATGTGATGCCTCATCTACTATAGGATTGTGGGACCATTACGCCTATTGTAATGTGGGTTAGGGTTTATGAAGTGTGGGACTGACGTGCATCTTCTACTCTTATATAGGCGAGTGCGACAGCATAATCTGCTATTGTTATGCGGTACAAATATGAGGTACCTGTTGCAAAAAGGTACGTCTGTCTGGAGTACCAGATTTACTGTCTTTTTACAGACACAATCGGTGAGACTACCGCGAAACGCCACAAGCATCAGACGACCACCCGACTCGCCGGCCTCTCCCACCCTTCTCGATCAAGCTCATTTTATCGAGCGACTGATGCTCGGAAATTTGCATAAGTCACAAATTCGTCTCGTAAATTTTCTGAGCTACGAGATTAGTTTTTTTTTGTCTTAAACTGTAGCCTTTGAATCGGCCATGTTTTCTTTCAGGTATCTTGCAAGAACGTGTTTTGTTCCAGGGAGTTAGCCGTTTGCCATTCTACAGTAACATATCCAGGTTGGGGTATGGAGATGGTATGCGACGTCTAATTCCTATGGGAAAGTGGTTCTGTTCTGTCATATATAGAAGTGTGGGACTGCTATCTGACTTCTAATAAAACGTCCTTGTCGAATATGGTAATGTGGGACTAATATATATCATCGAATCATAAACATAGTACGGCAGAAAATCCTCCCACATATATCACCCAGAAATACCTACCACATATTTCACCAGAAATACCTCTTACATACATCACCCAGAAGTACCTCTCATATATATCACCCAGAAGTACCTCTCACATATATCTCCCAGAAATACCTCTGACATATATCACCCAGAAGTACTGCTCACATATATCTCCCAGAAATACATCTCACATATGTCACCCAGAAGTACCTCTCATATATATCACCCAGAAGTACCTCTCACATATATCTCCCAGAAATACCTCTCAGATATATCACCCAGAAGTACCTCTCACATATATCTCCCAGAAGTACCTCTCACATATATCCCCCAGAAGTACCTCTCAGATATATCTCCCAGAAATACCTTTCACATATATCACCCAGAAATACCTCTTACATATATCACCCAGAAGTACCTCTTAGATATATCTCCCAGAAGTACCTCTCTCATATATCTCCCAGAAATACCTCTCACATATATCTCCCAGAAATAGCTCTCACATATATCACACAGAAATACCTCTAAAATATATCACCCCGAAGTACCTCTCAGATATATCTCCCAGAAGTGCCTCTCACATATATCTCCCAGAAATACCTCTCAGGTATATCCCCCAGAAGTACCTCACAGATATATCTCCCAGAAATACCTCTGACATATATCACCCAGAAATACCTACTATGTCTTACCATTATGTGAAAAGTATTTCTGGGAGATATATATGGAAGATATTTCTGCCGAACACTGCATAAGTGTGTAGAACTGCTATCTGACCTAATCATATATAGAAGTGTAAGATTGCAATGTGTAATCTAATATTCTATCGGAATTTAAAAGCCACATATCAATCCTATATTCTTTTTCATTTTTAAGGTTATCATTTTCTATCTCTCAGTAAATTACTGCGGGTAGTGTACGAAATATCAACGAATCTTTTTAATTTCATTAAACCTTATCATAAAATAGAAATTAAGACGAAGTTTTATTAAAACTCATCATAAAATAGAAATCACGGCGGGGTTTTATTAAACCATATCATAAAATAGAAATCATAATGAGAAGTGTTTGAATAAAAAATAATCTATAATAATAATTTATAGCATGAATAAAATACTAAAATTAAAATATTCAATTAAAAATCAACAATTATAAAATGTAATAAAATTACTAATAACAAGTTTGTATAAAACTTATTCCTAAAAAATAAGTCGAAGTATACGAGTAATAAAATAAAAATAGTGAAAATTCTTAATTAAAAGAGCAAAAATATTAAGATGAATTGAAACTAGTAAAAAAAAGTGTAATAGCTTCATCTAAAAAGTAACAATAATAAGATGGAGTAAAACTAGTAATAAAATAATAACAATGAAAAGGCTTCATCTAAAAGGTAACAATAATAAGATGGAGTAAAACTAGTGATAAAATAATAATAGGGAAAATGCTTCATCTAAAAAGCAACAATAATAAGATGAAGTAAAACTAGTAATAAAATAATAATAGGGAAAGGCTTAATCTAAAAAGTAACAATAATAAGATGGAGTAAAACTAGTGATAAAATAATAATAGGAAAAATGCTTCATCTAAAAAGCAACAATAATAAGATGGAGTAAAACTAGTAATAAAATATAACAATGAAAAGGCTTCATCTAAAAAGTAACAATAATAAGATTTAGTAAAACTAGTAATAAAATAATAATAGGGAAAGGCTTAATCTAAAAAGTAACAATAATTAGAGTAAAACTAGTAATAAAGTAATAGGGAAATGGCTTCATCTAAAAAGTAACAACAATAAGATGGAGTAAAACTAGTAATAAAATAATAATAGGGAAAATGCTTCATTTAAAAAGCAACATTAATAAGATGGAGTAAAACTAGTAATAAAATAATAATAGGGAAAATGCTTCATTTA